CAATGAGTTTAGCATATTTGGTAATCAAGAGTGGGTGCCAAAGGACAGGTCACACTCTAGGAGTACAGAAAGTGTACAGGACTACCAGCCAGAAACATAAATTCTTGTTCCAGCCCCATCAGATGCCACCTGCAAGACCTTGGAGAAGTCAGTTATCTTTTTGGAACGTTTCTTAATCTGTAAAATGTAGATAAAACTAACCAGCAGCCTGCTTCTGTCACTGGGCTGTGGCTAATCCCCATAAGGGTTGTGAGAGTGTTCTGTGTATTGGAAAATGGTTATCCAGTTTCAAGGGAGGGCTATTCTTGTGATTCAGATCTAGTGTGGGGGTAGCTGTGCACAGCTGAGTGCAGCCCCCTGAAGCCCTGGGAAGGAAGGAACCAGAGGGGGTAGGGGGGCAGGTGGGGGCAGGGAGTTAGAGGGAATAAATGGGGGGGGGAGAGGGAACCAAATGCTGGAGTATAGGAAAGTTATCTCCAGGTTAGGAACACCAAGGCCATCTCCTTTTGCTTCCCCCCAAGGGAGGGTTGAACCCAGGACCTAGCATATACTAGGTAAGCACTCTTTCCCTGAGGTAGGTCCCTAGTCTGATCACTTCAATTTTTTTTAAAACTCTAATTGTATTAATAATATGTATTGTGTATGTTGGTCTTGGGGCTAACTCTGGGTACTATCTCTGAGCTTTCTTGCTCAAGGCTAGTACTCTACCAATTGAGCCATAGCTCTACTTTCAGCATTTTTGTAGTATTTTATTGGAGATGAGTCTCACAGGTTTTCCTGCCTAGGTTGGCTTCAAACCATGACCCTCAGATCTCAGCCTCCTGAGTAACTAATAGATGTGAGCCACCCTGATCTGCTTAATTTTTTTTCAGGGCCTGGGCACTGTCCTTGAGCCTCTTTGTGATCAAGGCTAGCACTCTACCACTTGATCCATAGCACCACTTCCAGCTTTTCCTGAGTGGTTTATTGGAGATAAGAATGTCATGGACTTTTTTGCCTGGGCTGGCTTCAAACTGTGATCTTCAGATCTCAGCCTACTAAGTAGCTAAGATTACAGGCATGAGCCACCGGCGCCTGGCTGACCTGCTTAATTGTATTAATGAAAAATTTTAAACCTTAAGACAGGATTGCCCATATGTAATATATTTTGAGGTCCTGTAAAGAAGGCATGGTAACTCCTACCCTGAATGGTGGGTGGGGTATTAGGGATAAAATCTCTGGAAGGTTGGGCTGGGAAGGTGGCTCAGTGGTAGAGCGCTTGCCTTGCATGCCTGAGGCCCTGGGTTTGATTCCTCAGCACCACATAAGCAAAAAGAAAAAAGCCAGAAGTGGCGCTGTGGCTCAAGTGGTAGAGTGCTAGCCTTGAGCTGAAGAGCTGAGGGACAGCACCCAGGCCCAGAGTTCAAGCCCCATGACCGGACCCCCAAAAAAAAATCTCTGGAAGGCATTGGGCACAGCACCAGCCTTGAAGCTTGCAAATGCTATTTGTTAGTATCACCTTCTCATTACAACACAGTCTACCTCTTCATTTTGGTGAATAATGTGCTGTCTCTTCTATTGCTATTCTGATAAGGATACAGGTAGGAATCTAGAGGGTCACAAGTGCTCATCAGCTATGAAGATAATACCTAACATATACATTCAGGGCTAGAAGAGGCCTCCTGAGCTCTCATGGTAGGCTCTAGAGAAGGGGAGAGTTATGTTTTTTCTTATGGTATATCCATAAGTGAAATACTAATTAGCCATAAAAAGGAACACACTCCTGCTACAAGCAACACATTATGGAATTAAAAGGCTAGGTACAGAAATAGTACCTACAGGGGCTGGGAATGTGGCTTAGTGAAAGAGTGCTTGCCTAGCATACATGAAGCCCTGGGTTAGATTCCTCAGTACCACATAAACAGAAAAAGCCAGAAGTGGCATTGTAGCTCAAGTGATAGAACGCTAGCCTTGAGCACAAAAAGGCTCAGGGACAGAGCCCAGGCCCTGACTTCAAGCCCTAGGATGGAAAAAAAATAGCACATACAGTGTGAGTCCATTTATATAAAAATTTAGAACGGATGAAATAGTATGACAGAAAGCAGAATATTGGAGTTAGGACCTGTGGCTCATACCTATAATCTCAGCTACTCAGGAGACTGAGACCTGTATAGATTGTGATTCAACATCAGCCTGGGCAGAACAGTCCAAGAGACTCTATCTCCAATTAACTAGCAAAATGTCAGACTGAAGGTATGGCTCAAGTGATAAAGGACCAGCCATGAACAAGAAAACGGAATGCTGCAGCTACTAACAAGATAAATGAAAGGCAGATGATGTCCCTTCACCCCAAGACATGGAAATACTACTCTGGTTCAGCTTTCTTTCATTTCACTTTGCTTCAGACCATTTCTAGTCCTGCCATCTATGTTTAACTTTTCTACCATCTTCCTCCTTTGCACTGGCATTCTGTTCCCAGAATGCTAGAAATCTATAATTATAGACAGATCAAAGAAGGCTACATTTTGTAAACCATACACATCATAAGCTCTCCACAAGCGTAAACTTAGCATTGTGCCTTTCCTTTCCACTAGAAATGGCTCTCTTTTGACACATCAGAAGCCTCAGAGTCTTTCAGGGTTGCGTTCAATCTTTTTGTCCTCAATTCTGGGGGCTCCAGAGTGCAGGATAGGCTGAGGATTCTTCTTTCTGAACTCTGGGCTCTTATCATGAAATCAGTACCATGTCATATCCTGGCTAGGACCTGTGCTCTATGTCTCTTTACCTATGTCAAGTACCTGTTTGACCTTCTCTACAATAATCACAGTTGGGTTAAATTCTCAATACCCCTTAGGCTCAGTTTCACCATTTGTAGCACAGAAATGGTGGCAGCTTTATTGGGCCTATCCATAATTCTTTTGATCCTGGCTTGAGCCTATTGTGGGAACTTAGCACAGCAGTTCTCAAAAGTGTGGTTTGGAAAGCCCTGTGAGGTCAGCAAACTTCCCTTTTCTCAACTAAATAACCACGTGATGCTCTTTTCTTCATATACCCAAAACAAAACAAAAAAAACCAAAAACATGACCACAGGTTGAATGAAGAAAGAGCTATGAGAATATAGCAGCTTTCTATTCAGCCAGATATTAAAGTGTTTGCTAAAAGTGAAACACAGCCACTCCCCCCCTCTCTTTGGAAAACATAGGAATTTTGAAAATAAAAATATACCATTATATCAGCAAGTGATGTGCTATTATTTTATGATTTAAATCTATCTAGTGTCAATTCCTAGTGTAGTAATTTGCAAAAGCTCTTTGGATTCCTCAGTCATTTTTAACAGTGTAAAGAGGTGATGAGATCAAAAGGTTGGAAAACTTGTAGAAGAAAGAATAGAGTTCCAGAGTTTGATTTTTCAGTTACCTCATAGTTTTAGTCCTTTCAATGCCTCGGTTTACCTTTATTTTTATTTATTTATTTTTTTTGGGTCCGGTCTTGGGGACTGAACTCTGGGCCTGGGCGCTGTCCCTCAGCTCTTCAGTTCAAGGCTAGCGCCCTACCACTTGAGCCACAGCGCCACTTCCGGCTTTTTTCTTTTTGCTTATGTGGTGCTGAGGAATTGAACCCAGGGCCTCAGGCATGCAAGGCAAGCGCTCTACCACTGAGCCACCTTCCCAGCTCCCTCAGTTTACCTTTAATAGTCACCTTTGTGACATGGATGTCTCCTAGTCTTTTTTTTCTTCGCTTTCTTCCCTGAGCTTTTCTGCTCAAGGCTGGTGTTCTACTACTTGAGCCACATTTCCACTTCTGGCTTTCTGGTGGTTAATTGTGGATCAGAGTCTCATGGGAGGCCAGTGGCTCATGCCTGTAATTCTAGCTACTTAGGAGGCTGAGATCTGAGGATCATGGTTCAAAGCCAGCCCGGGCAGGAAAGTCTGTGAGACTCTTATCTCCAATAAACTAGAAAACCACAAGTGGCATTGTGGCTCAAGTGGTAGAGTGCTAGCCTTGAGCTGAAGAGCTGAGGGACAGCACTTAGGCCCAGAGTTCAAACCCCATGACCGACAAAAACAAAACACAGAAAAAAAAAGTCACATGGGAGAAAGAGGGGAAAGAGTGACATCATTCAAAAGAAATGTACTATTTATTTTACTTATGCTGGTCCCGGGGCTTGAATTCTGGGCCTGGGCCCTGTCCCTGAGCCTCTTTGTGCTCAAGGCTATGCTCTACCACTTGAGCCACAGCACCATTTCTGTTTTGTTTATTAGAGATAGTTTATTAATTTATTAGAGATAGTAGTTTATTAGAGATAGTCTTACAGACTTTCCTGCCTGGGCTGGCTTTGAACCATGATTACAGGAGTGAACCACTGCCACCAGGTGAAATATATTATCTGACTTAAGTAACTGTAACCCCTTGTACATCACCCTTACAATAACAATAAATAAATTATAACAAAATAGACAAGAGGCAGATGTAAGCTTAAAAAAAAAAAAGAGTCTTATAGACTTTCCTGTTTGGGCTGGCTTCAAACTTTGATACTCATATGCCAGCCTCTCCAGTAGCTAGGATTACAGGTGTTAGCCACCAACACTAGACTACAAGTCTCTTTCCTTCATGCTTATATTTTGCTTTGCTTATACAAGGATGGCCTCTGGAAGGATCTCAATAATTGATCCCAGTGGCCTCTAGAGAGGAGACTTGGGAGACAGTGATCCATCGTTGCATGCATCACCTGTATTTAATGATAGACAAATGAAAGCAAACAACACTTGTAATGGATAGGTGCTCAGGTTGTCCCAGGGAAAGTAGTGTTGACTGACAACTGAAAAGACACAGCCCACTGAAAGTGTTCCTCATCTCACTTGGTTTGGATCACAACACACAGATGCCCTTGGCCTCCAGTGCCCACAAGCCAGGGTTCAGCCGGGACCACCTTCTCCCCGCCCCGCGCGAAACCACTCCTGGCGACGTCACTTCCGGCGGACTGGCTTTCCTGAACTCCCTCTGGCTCCCGCCTTCGCCCACTTCCGGTCGTCGTCGCCGCTGCTGCCGCTGCTGCTCCTGCTGCTGAAGCTGCTGGCGGAGGCCGGAGGATCGGGCGGCGGCGGCGGCGGCGGCTGAAAGGGCGGCGGCGGGAGCGGAGCGGGACGCGGAAGCGAGAGGAGGCGAGCGAGGAGCGAGCAGAGCACCCCCTGCCGCCCGCCTGAGGAGCCGGAGCCGCCCGGGCCCTTCGCACGCCGCCGCCGCCCGCCCGCCCGCCTGCTCGCCCGCGGGACAAAGCCGAGAGCCCGTGCCAGAGCCATGTCCTCGTCCGCCGGCAGCGGCCACCAGCCCAGCCAGAGCCGCGCCATCCCCACGCGCACTGTGTCCATCAGCGACGCCGCGCAGCTACCTCATGACTATTGCACCACGCCCGGGGGGACGCTGTTCTCCACCACGCCGGGAGGTGAGCGCCCGCGCGCGCTGCGCCGCGTCCCGGCTTCCCGCCGGCTCTCCGGGACTCCTTGGGGGGCGGGTCCGCTGAGCCCCCGGGGAACCTTGCGTGGTCTTTCGGAACCCCTTCGCGTTGCAATTCTTTCCGTCCCGGGACTGGAGCGCGCGCGCGCGTGCGTCCACTCGAGAACGCGGAGAAAGCGCTTGTTCCCGCTCCGTGGCAGTTTTCCGCGCTTGACCCAGTTTTCTCCCCTCCCCCCCCCTCGGCCCCACTGGGCCTTGCGTGACACCCTGCGTTGCCTCCCCTCCCTCTTTCTTGCAGCTTTGTTGTGCCTTTGGTCACGTCGGCGCTGCCCCACAGGCCTCTGTAGGCAGAAAGTTGGGCCGAGGAGTTTGGGGTAGGACCCTGCCAGGATTTGTTTTGCCTCGTGTCGAACGCCCTGGACAAGGCTGGAATGCAATCTAGAAGCCTTGCCCCGCGTGATCCTGCTTTGACAGTAATTGTTTACCGGGCTAGACGGAGGCCTTTCAAAAGGGGGTGATGGGGAGGGGGATGTCTCCAGGCTGGAAAGAAAAAGTGATATACTAATACTCTTGCAATACTCAAGGGATAGGAGGTTGGAGTGACAGCACCAGCAGCGGTTGGTTGGTGGAAGTTGGTCTGGAACTCTGTGATCCTGTCATCTCAGCTTTATCTAGCAGGACATGTTTGCCTGATTTGGGGGGAAGGGGAGTGCTTATAGAGCGAGCTGGTGCCGAGGGAGACGGACAGGGAACAGCCAGGGACTGTTGACAAGCAACACTGGGTATAGGTGAAGCATGTAGATAAGAGTTGGTCACAGGAGAAAAGGAGCTCAAAGGTTGTCTGTGCCCAGCTTGGGCAGTTAGCCAGAGGGTGGAGACTGCAAAGCGTTGGGGAGCGGGCCGGGCGGGGAAGGAGAGGGAAGCGGAGGAGGAACTTACTGAAGGGAAAGGGGCTTCCTTTTTAACCTCAGAACTTTGCCTTCTTTTGGTGGTCTGTTGGCTGGCCTCCGGCTAAAGGGTGGAGACTTGGCATGCAGCCCCAGCAGCCTATGTGAAAGCTAGCCTTCCTGTGGGCAGGACCCCTGAGTGTTCAACAACCAATCCTATGCAGTTGGGCCTGTGTAGTCTTCGAAGCTGTTGCACAATAATAGGCATGGAGTAAAGAGGGATCTCCTTGCCAATTCCAAAGAAGAAAAATGTAGAAGAAAACTTTTGAGACAATCTAACAAGGCCACTAGGGGTAGTAGGACTACCTTGAAAAGCTAAGTATTACTCATGCCCCTGAATTCATCAATATGTATGCAGAGTCAGGTATAGGAAAGTATAGAAACCCTTGCACTACTTACTGCACAGCAGTGGAGTTGCACTGAGTTGGTTTGCCGCACTCAAGAGTGCTCCTTCCTGATTTCTTAATTTTGTCTAAGGCCAGCTCCAGCTCCTATGAAGAAGTTTTTGTTGTTGTTGGTGGTGGTTTTATTTTTTATTTTTATTTTTTTAAGAAAGTTTCTAAGTAGCCCATGCTGGTCTGGAACTCTGTGATCCTGTCATCTCAGCTTTTGAGGTGATCTTACTACAGGCATACCTAACATGACCATTATCATGAGGGTTTTTTTTTTGTTTTTTTTGTGGGGAGGAGGGTCAGTATGGGGCTTAGACTCAGGGCCTAGGAGCTGTCTCTGAATTTAACAGACTAGCGCTCTACCACTTGAGCTACAGCTCTATTGTAAGCTTTTTTTTTTTTTTTTTGCTGATTAATTGGAGGAATGAGTCTCTTGGCCTTCCCTGTCTGGGATGGCTTCTCACCAGATCCTCAGATCTCAGCCTCCTGAGTAGCTACAATTACAGGCGGGAGCCTCAGGTGCGGGGCAATCATGAAAGATTTCTAAAGGTGAAAATCTGTTTCAGATAAGTTGCTTTGAACTTAAACTGTTAGCTTTTAAGAAATGGAGATTCTTTTCCAAGGTGAGGGATTATAACTTATTCAAATGCCTGTGCTCCTTGAGAATACATATTACAATAATACTGGTACTCAGCTTTAATTTATTTGGGGAAGGAGCTAAACCTTTAGCTATATATTAATCTTATTCTTCAAAGGAAAGAGCGATAAGGGGAAGTATTCTCTTTTAGCATATTTCAAGCACTATGCTGTTGGGCTTTTCAAATAAGTGCATAGTTTTTAGCATTGTTTTAAAGATAGAAGCCTGTCTCATAATCTGAATTAATTCTTAAAATACTTAGGGAGATTCTTCCAGAAATACTAATCTATTTACCCTCTCAACACACATTATCACCACTGCTTGATCAAATATCCCCTACCCTACCTCCAGATAGCTTCTGCAGACACAGGTTTCTGTTTTTGGTTTTGTTTTATTGTTGTTGTTTTTCCCATCCTGGGGCTTGAATTCACAGCTTGGGCACTGTCCCTGAGCTTCTTTTACTCAAGGCTAGCCCTCTACCACTTGAGCCACTGCACCACTTCCAGGCTTTTCTGTTTATGTGGTACTGAGGAATTGGATCCAGGGCTTCACGCATGCTAGTCAAGCACTCTACCACTAAGCCACATTCCTGGCCCACAGATTTTTGTTTTAGATTTAAGTACTTGATGTTGGCTCATCTATATCATTGAGCCTGTCTTTATTGTTAGAGCCCATTGTAGTGATCTTTGGTTATTTTACACACAATGGCTTACTATTTAGAGTAGTTCAACATCCTTACAATTGGATTTCATCAGTATTTTATAGCAGTTAGCTCAGTGCTGTTTAGATGCACTGTACTCACTGAAATTTACCCCTTTGGAAATTTTCTGCCCTATGATGCTTAGTTCCATTTCTGTTGCTGCAGTGCTACTCCTTACCATGGAATTTATGTTCTTGGACCAGGGTGAAGTCAGTTGTTATTTGATCACTTCTAGAAAGCTGATTAATGTGATTATGAATTTTTAGTGAGGCCTGTGCTGTGCTTTGCACAAAACAGGACAATAAACAAAAGTAGAAATGTAATCCTTGCTCTGGATGCTTTTAAAATCTTGATTTGGAAGGCACGGAGGCTATAGATAAGATTTTTATTTCTGAAACTATATATGTTGAGTTACATTATTTTAGAAAAACATTTAGAAAAATGAATCAGTAGGCTTCTGTTAGATAAATCAATTGAGTGAGGAGGGAGAGGAGTGCATCTCCTGCTCAGACTTCTGGAAACTTGAGAGTGTCACACTGGTCAGAACTTTCCAGTGTAACAGTTGATGTGCTAAATGCCCTAAATGATCAGACAGGGCAGGGACATTAATCCCATAGCTAATTTAGGATTTCTCCCCCTTGAGAATCCTTTCTTTATTGGACATCACATGATAGAGCCTATCCTAGAAGTTTCTCAGAATGGCCTTGTTGTGGTTTGGGAAATTGTGAATTTCTTACATTGGTAGGATAGTATTTTTTTTTTCATTATTGAGGGAGAGGAAACTTTAGAGAAATGGGAATGTTAATTGGTTCTATCATTGAAAAGCTTCTAGCCTCAGTGCAAGGTAAGATTAGTATGGTTTAAATTTTATAACATTGGTTAGCTAGAGAAACCTAATGACTTTGGTAAATTGAAAGAAGTTGAGTCTCTCCCTCCCCAAATTAACTTTTTAGAATCATATAGCCACTTAATGTCTGAAGATTTGTATCCTGATCATTGTTCCATATCCCCACCCCACCCCAACTGTCTCAGGCTGCTTATATTATTAGGAAAGAAAGAACATTTAAAGCGCCTGGAAAACTAGCTGATGGGATTTTCTTTGCTACCTTGTTTAGATTCTAGGTATGAATCCATCTCCTTCTGGGAGAGTTGTGCTCTGGGGAAAGAACAGAAACAAGAGACCTCTTTTTGCCTGTCTTAATAACATTCTTACCATCTCTTTATGACTGTCCTTAATAACAGTCTCATCAGCTGTGGAAAAGTGTGCTCTTGCCACAGCAAGAGGGATATAGGGTCACATTATAATGGTCTGAAATCTGATTTTTGTCCTATTTCTTCCTCTCTGCTAGCAAGTTCCTCTTTGCTGAAGGCCATTGGAAGGCCTGGAAATTGGAGAGAAGGTAAAAGAAGGGAGAACTGGTCCACAATTATATCAAAATAAGAGAATTTGGGGAAACAGTTTTCAGTCAGGTTCCTTTCTTGTAAGGATGAATCACACTTAGAAAAGAAGGGCCAGATTTCTGACCCTGTCATAAATTTCATTGTTAACTTTGAGCTGAATTTATTCTAGGCCACTAACTGTTGAACGCACAAATGAACTTATTTAGCCCTGTAATTTAAGTTCTTGGCACAAGGTTTCATAATTAGATGTGAGAAGTGCTTCTACATTAAATGAAGGGAGTTCAATTAGTTTGTTTACAGTTGAAAAGGGTGACATTTACTTATCTCATAGTAACACAGATTAACTAGTGTTGTGATTCTATAGGAGACTCAGCTATAGTCCTATGTGCAGATTCAGTTGCTAGAGCTTTTGCTGGGGAGGTACTGAATTCTGAGCTTGGAGGAGGCAGCCTTTCTCATCTATAAGGCAGTGAGTGCCTCTGCCTGACCCAAGACAGATGCAAGGTTTTAGTGCAGCATAATGACAGACCTGTGCATTGTGCCTTCTCCCCCAAACCAGCTATATGAGATAGCAATGGAGAACTGACAGATCTGTGTACTGGCACCATCAGAGTCAAAAAGTCATTCAGCCTTTTGAGAACTAGAGTTATTTATTTATTTATTTATTTAGGTTGGTTCTGGGGCTTGAACTCGGAGCTTGGGCACTGCCCCTGAGCTTTTGTGGTCAAGGATAGCAGTCTCCCACATGACCTTTCCTAGGTTTTTGGTAGATCAAAGTCTCATGGACTTATCCACCTGGGCTGGTATTGTACCTCAGTTCTCAGACCTCAGCCTCCTGAGTATCTAGGATTATAAGCATGAGACATTGGTGCCCAGTAAGGACTAGAGTCTTAAAGATTCAATTTTCGAGGG